TGTTTTCTTTTCTTCGAAACAGGATTTCGCTGTGGAGCCAGGCAGGAGTGCAGTGATGTGATCTCAGCTCACTGCAGCCTCAGCCTCCTGGGCTCAGGTGACCCTCCCACCTCAGCCTCCTGGGCTCGGGTGACCCTCCCACCTCAGCCTCCTGAGCTCAGGTGACCCTCCCACCTCAGCCTCCTGAGCCGGTGGGACCTTTGGCACACACCACCGTGCCTGGCGAATATTTTTAAGTGTTTCTTGTAGACGTGGGGTTTTGCCACGTTGGCCCAGCTATTCTGCAACTCCTGGGCCCGAACGATTCTCCCGCTTTGGCCTCCCAAAGTGCTAGAATCACAGTTGCGAGCTGCTGTGCCTGGCTACAGCTCAGTTCCGTAACAAGCTTCATATTCCTTAAACACAGCTGACGTTCAGGCGGTCATAGACTAGAAGACCTCCCAGGCCTCCCTGTCTGTGGCTCTGGCCTGTCTCCTCAGTTCAGCTGAGGCCCGTGTCTTGGCGGCTGTCCCCGGTAGGAGCTGAATGGTGGGTGGAGCCAGCAGCCTCCCCGCCCTGTGTCTGCAGGTGGAGAGCGAGAAGCAGCAAGAGCACGAGGCGCAGTGGCTGCGGGAGCACCTGGCCATGCTACTGAGCTCGGTCCTGGAGGCAAAGCCCCTCTCAGGAGACCAGAGCCAGGCGGGGTCAGAGCTCCTGCAGAGGTGCGAGACACTGGAAAAGAAGACAGCGACCTTCGAGAACATCGTCTGTGTCCTGAACCGGGAGGTGGAGAGGGTGGCCCTGACCGTCGAGGCCTGTAGCCGGCAGCACCGGCTGGACCTAGACAGGATCGAAGCCCTGAGTAACAAGGTCTGTGCCCGGTGGGCGGCTCGCCGTGAGGAGGACAGTGTAAAGGGGGATGGTGCCCAGGCCCCAGCAGCTTCCGGCAGGTCCTGGAGCTTTACAACCTGGACAGCCTAGAATTCCATCTGCAAACCCCCGTCCAGTGTGGTTTCTATGGCGGGGCTCTGGCTCCCTTCATTTCTGAGCCCTGTTCTCTGAGGGGCGAAAACCCTGGAAAGTCACAGACGCCACAGGCTGTGGGTGAGAGCCTCCTCTCTCTGATGGAGGGCAGAGTCACCCATGGGGGTGTGCGTGGCGTGCTGTGGCTTCTGAGCATGCTTGCTGTCCGGAGCTGCTGTGTGAACTTGGAGCCCCCACCTCTTTGCAGGGTGGGCTTGGGTTCTTGTGGACAGGGAGCTGACAAGAGGAACGCAGAGCCCAGGGTGCCTTGAGGCACAGTCCTGCTGGAGGTGGGCGGGTGTGGGAGGCAGGGGCTCGTGCCTGCACCCCTCCTGTAAGAGGGAAGGTGGTCTTGGCACCCACAGGTGCAGCAGCTGGAGAGGAGCATCGGCCTGAAGGACCTGGCGATGGCCGACCTGGAGCAGAAGGTCTTGGAGATGGAGGCGTCCACCTACGATGGGGTCTTCATCTGGAAGATCTCAGACTTCGCCAGGAAGCGCCAGGAAGCTGTGGCTGGCCGCACACCTGCCATCTTCTCCCCAGGTGTGGTTCTAGCCCCGCCACCCCCCAACCCCGGCAGCTGCTGTTTACTTAGCACCTGAGTTCCCTCATCCCCGAGACCACATGGGATGGGTGCCAAGGGCGGAGCTGGGATACAACCCCCACTGATACCAGGAGTTGGCTGTGCCTCCCTGAGTGGCCAGTGGGCAGCTGAATGTGGGCTGGCCAGTGGGCGCCCTTGGGCAGATGTCAGGGTGGGGGTGTTGGGCTGGCTGCCCTCCCACTGTGCCAGCCCTCAAGGTGTGCCCCTTGTCACCCTCAGCTCTGCACTGCGAGCCCCATGTCACCTAAAGCAATCATTACACCAGCAGGCTCTCCTGCCTGACCACAGCTCCCAGGAAGACAGAGGGCAGGTGGGGTCACTGGGTGGGTGGCACGAGGTGGGACATGGCTCTCAGGGACTTGGGGCTGAGCTAGTCTGACCCTTCCCAGGTTCACTTTCCAGCTGCACACAGGAGCTCAGCGAGGGTGTTTCTCGTGCTGCCTCCTTTTTTTTTTTAACCCCAATTATAGGGTCTCTTGAGAGGGTGCTCGTGGGGTCTCCCCTGGAGGGCGCTGGTACAGAGGGATGGGGTGGGGGCTGTCACGACTGAGCTTCCGGGCACTGTGGTCCAGAGGTGGCCCCGCTGCTGTCCCTCGAGACCCTCACGGACCTCGTGCCAGCCCAGCCATCATCTCTGCCCCTGCTCAGGCCCTGCCTTTGTGCCCTTTGTAGCCATGGCTCAGAACACGCCCTCATGTGGGCTTTATTTTTACGCTGACTTGTTGAACCTGCTGATAGAATCTTAGTTGCTAGGATCAAGGCTGAGACACTGTAGGCACCTTTCCTGTTTGAATTTAAGCTGACGCTGCTGATGAAACTCCCTGAACACCAGGGGCTGAGGTGGTCCTGTGCTCCAGCGCCCTTGAGGCAGAAAGAGACCCTACTGTCATCTTGAGGGGCTGCCATGTTCTTCTTTGTGGTGCATCCTGACAAGGCCTTCAGCAGGCGTCAGAAACAAAACTCACACTCTCTTCTCTGAGATGAGACTGGAGAAATGAAAGACTGTTTGGGGGGACACTCTAGGGCATAGTCTAGGCAGCCTGCAGGACGTAGCTCTGTTCCTCCAGGGCTGGGAAGGTCAGCACCGCCCTCTGGTGGCCACCTTCCCTCTGCAGCTGCTGGGAGTTCTGAGCGTGGGTTGAAGGGCGAAGGGGTGAGGCCCTGCCACAGTGGCAGTCTTTGAGGGGGCTGCACTCGGGCATGAGGACCTGTTTGTATAGAACATCTGCTTTAAGGGATGCTGGTGAACACAGCTTGTGTACAGCACAGCTGTGGAGGGAGGGGAGGACGGGCCTGTGGAGGATGGGCTGTGGAGGGCAGGGAGGACGGGCCTGTGGAGGATGGGCTGTGGAGGGCGGGGAGGACGGGCCTGGGGAGGATGGGCTGTGGAGGGTAGGGAGGACGGGCTGGGGAGGATGGGCCTTGGGAGGATGAGGAGGACAGCCTGTGGAGGATGGGCTGTGGAGGGCAGGGAGGATGGGCTGGGGAGGATGGGCTGTGGAGGGCGGGGAGGACGGGCTGGGGAGGATGGGCTGTGGAGGGCGGGGAGGACGGGCCTGGGGAGGATGGGCTGTGGAGGGCGGGGAGGACGGCCTGGGGAGAATGGGCTGGGGAGGGCGGGGAGGACGGGCCTGGGGGCCCAGTGCCGCCATGGTGGGATCACTGTGTATGGAGCTTTGTGCACGGTGTTCTATCATGTGACTTGGAAAGCAGCCTCTGCCCCGTTGTGGCTGTCATTCGAATCTCTTGTTGGGCGGGAAGGACGTGGACTCTTCTTGTTCTGGGGCTCTCCCCGGCCAGCGCCTCTCCTGAGGCAGGCTTGGGGCCCCTCTTAGACCCTGGGCCAGTCAAGGGTTCCCCTCTGCAGCTCTGCCGAGGCCCCGGCCACACTGTGGTTGGTAGATCTCTCCATGTTGCTCTACTCGCCTTCTTAAGTTTTGGGGGTTACATTTAGGATTCTTAAAAATGCTTTCTCATGGCTCACGCCTGTAATCCCAGCACTATGGGGGGCCGAATCGGGTGGATTACCTGAGGCCAGGAGTTCAAGACCAGCCTAGCTAGCATGGAGGAACCCTGTCTCTCCTGAAAATACAAAAATTAGCCAGGCGTGGTGGCAGGTGCCTGTAGTCCCAGCTACTCAGGAAGCTGAGGCAGGAAATTCACTTGAGCCCGGGAGGTGGAGTTTCCAGTGAGCTGAGATTGAGCTACTACTCTCCAGCCTGGGCAACAGAGTGAGACACACTCAAAAAAAAAAAGCGTTGCTGGGCGCGGTGGCTCAAGCCTGTAATCCCAGCACTTTGGGAGGCCGAGGCGGGTGGATCACGAGGTCAAGAGATCGAGACCATCCTGGTCAACATGGTGAAACCCCGTCTCTACTAAAAATACAAAAACATTAGCTGGGCATGGTGGCGCGTGCCTGTAATCCCAGCTACTGAGGAGGTTGAGGCAGGAGAATTGCCTGAACCCAGGAGGCGGAGGTTGCGGTGAGCCAAGATCGCGCCATTGCACTCCAGCCTGGGTAACAAGAGTGAAACTCCGTCTCAAAAAAAAAAAAAGCGTTTACTGATTTTTCTAATTACTGGGTTTTTTTCAAAAATAAAGTTTGTTTTCATTGGAAACTAACTGCAGTTTGAGAACAAACATTCTTTGCACCCCAGAACTTGCATGTTCCTTTGTGGCGTGGGTGTCCCTGGGGGAGGGCCGGCAGGCAGGAAGAGCCCGCCCTGCCCATGCTGAGGGTCAGCTGACAGGCCCCTCCGCCCGCCTCCGCAGCCTTCTACACCAGCAGGTACGGCTACAAGATGTGTCTGCGCATCTACCTGAACGGCGACGGGACCGGGCGCGGAACCCACCTGTCCCTCTTCTTCGTGGTGATGAAAGGCCCGAACGACGCCCTGCTGAGGTGGCCCTTCAACCAGAAGGTGAGGCTGTCCCCGCGTGCTTCACCGAGGTCAGGGCAGCTTCCGCGGCTCAGGCTTGTGCAGGACGGGGTGGCTGGGGCTGCCGGCCCAGGTGTCTGCAGCAGGCAGGTCACCCTGTGGTGCTGTGTCACGTGGTGGAGAGTTCTCGCAGTTTCTGTCCTTTCCACAATTTCCTAACACTGGTCCGTGACACAAGCAACTGGCTTCCTGACGTGTCAGATGAATATTACTAAGAAAAAGTACAAGGCCGGGTGTAGGGGCTCACCCTGTGATCTTAGCACTTTGGGAGGCTGAGGTGGGAGGATTACTGAGCCCAGGACTTTGAGACCAGCCTGGGCAACATAGTGAGACCCCATCTCTACAGAAAAAAGAAAAATTAGCTAGGCCTGGTGGTGTGCCCCTGTATCCCCAGCTGTTAGGGAGGCTGAGGCGGGAGGACTGCTGGAGGCCAGCAGGTTGAGGCTGCAGTGAGCTGAGATCACGCCACTGCACTGCAGCCCAGGCAACAGAACAAGACCAATCTCTAAAAAATAAGTGAATGCAAGGACAAGGCACAGGGTGTTGAAAGCTGGGGGTGCCCAGCCTTAGCCTAGGACTCCAGAGGTCAGAGGCGTCTGGACCAGCAGTTTGAAAATAGGGCCCTGGAGAGTGCAGAGGAAGGAACACGGCTTCGGGGCCGTCTTTGTCAGAGGCGTGATTTATTATTTTGAAAATCAGAATCTGTTTTTGGTTGAGGAACTGAAGATCTAGAGACGAGGCTGGAATGGGAAGGTCCTTCCTTTCGCCACACTAGGCCCAGGCTTGCTGCGTCCCCCACCCACACTAGGTCCAGGCTTGCTGCGTCCCCCACCCACACTAGGCCCAGGCTTGCTGCGTCCCCCACCCACACTAGGCCCAGGCTTGCTGCGTCCCCCACCCACACTAGGCCCAGGCTTGCTGCGTCCCCCACCCACACTAGGCCCAGGCTTGCTGCGTCCCCCACCCACACTAGGCCCAGGCTTGCTGCGTCCCCCACCCACACTAGGCCCAGGCTTGCTGCGTCCCCCACCCACTCTAGGCCCAGGCTTGCTGCGTCCCCCACCCACACTAGCCAGTGGAGTAGGCAGAGCAGAGCTGGACGAGGGGAGGGGGTGGAGGGCCCGGGGCAGCCGGGTTCACAGGCCCGACAGAGGCAGGCTCAGGCTCTCTGAAAAGGATGCTTAGGCTTAGGTGGGCAGTGGGTGCCTCATGATATCTTTACCAAGAAAATGTCTTTGCCAGCTGTATTATTTTTTGCTTTTTCCTAATACAAATTCAAGTTCAGGATTGGTAAGCTGTAGTCTAGGACTCCAGATGTCAGGGGACAGGAAATGCCAGATGGGTGCAGGTTCCCCAGAGAGAAGCGTCATGCCTGTGGCTGGTGAGCCAGGCGCTGCACAGGAGCAAGGCCGCCCACCACGTGGTCTTGGCTGGGTCCTGGGATGGGTGCCTGGGGCCTCCTGCCAGTGTCCAGACCCTCGGGAACCAGGAGAGGCAGCCTACAACCATGTCCCTCCCTGGGGCTCTTCTCCAGGTAACCCTGATGCTGCTGGACCAGAACAACCGGGAGCATGTGATTGACGCCTTCAGGCCCGACGTGACCTCATCCTCTTTCCAGAGGCCGGTCAACGACATGAACATTGCAAGTGGCTGCCCCCTCTTCTGCCCCGTCTCCAAGATGGAGGCCAAGAATTCCTACGTGCGGGACGATGCTATCTTCATCAAGGCCATTGTGGACCTGACAGGGCTCTAACTGCCCCCAATTGGTGTCGGGTTTGGGGGCAGCCAGGCACAGCCGGCTCACTGAGGGGCCACCATGCTGGGCCAGGGCCTCACTGCACAAGTGGGCAGGGGCCTGGCTTGGGCACTTGGGTGGGTGTTGGCCTGCAGCCACGTTCACTGTCACGGGGAAGGAGCCACCAGCCAGTCCTCGGATTTCAGAGACTGCATAGAGGGGCCTAGGAGACGGGCTCAGCCCAGGGCTGTGCTGGGGCTGGCCAAGGGTCTTCTGGTGCTTCTCTTGCTGTCTGTCCTGTGCAGTGAAGGGAGAGGCCCTGGGTGGGGACGCTCGGAGCGGAGCATATCCCAGCACTGCCCACGAAGCAGGAGCACAGTGGTAGCCTTGTGTTCCTCAGGCGTGGCAGGCAGAAAGGAGGGGCTGCTCCAGGAGAAGGGCCTCCTGCCGGCCAGAGCGAGGAAGGCCATGCGGCTTGGTTCTCCCCTCTGGCCCCTGGAGAGAAGGGAGCATTCCTAGACCCCTGGGTGCTTGTCTGCACAGAGCTCCGGTCTGTGCCACGTTGGCCAGGCTGGGTATGGGAGAGGGTCTGGTCCCACGCTGCCTCTGCTCAGACCATGGTGTAGGGGTGCGCAGCACGGCCTGCGGGTGCTGTGAGAGCACTCCGTGCAGCTCACGAGACACAGTTATTAAACCGTTCAAATCTCTGCTCAGTGGTGTCCAGTTGGTTCCAGGTTGCCTGCAGCTTCCAGCCTTGGCAGTGGTCACCCTCTGGGGGTCCTCCTGGCCTCCTCCTCCCACGCACCCCTCCTCAAAGGGTGTCTGGCTGCTGGCTGCTTTTCTGGCCAGCCAGGCTGTTCTCTCTGTTTCTTACCTCCTGTAAGCTCTCTCTTCTGAGCCTTGGTGAAGCCCAGTGTTCCCTCTTGTGACATATTCTTCCCTGCCCGTCTCCTCTCCTGGGCCTTCCCAGGGACTCCTGTGAGAGCAGGATGAGGATGAGCCAGCCCTGGTTCTCTGCATAGGCTGCACCGCCCTCGGGGTGTGCTCTCAGGACTGAGGGCAGGCCGGCGTAGGCATGGCTTCGCTCTTGGTGTCAGGGCAGCCGTGCCGGGGTCTGCTTGGCGTCTGTATCAGGGTCCAGGGTAAAGGGTGGTCGCCTCTTGACACCCTCACACACTGCTGTAGTTTGAGAAGTTAAGACCATAGAAAAATACAGAAAATAACTCGGGCACAGGAACTGACAGGTATTATCTGTGTTCCCCGCGTGTGTACTGGACCGAACGAAGCATCGCAGAGCCCATCGCCTGCTGTTCCCTTTCCCAGCCTCACCTCAGCTCCCCCAGGCCACGTGGCACCAACTGTGACGTTCCAGTTCTCCGGCTTTAGAATTTGGCATCTATGTGTTTCTGTATCCACAAATAAGACTATCGCATTTAAAACGCAGAAACCATCCACTGGGTCCTCTGCAGGTAGCTGGGCTTCTTACTCAGCCTGGCTGGGTTTTGTTTTGTTTTGTTTTTGAGATGGAGTTTCACTCTTGTTGCCCAGGCTGGAGTGCAGTGGCACAATCTCGGCTCACTGCAACCTCCACCTCCTGGGTTCAAGCGATTCTGCCTCAGCCTCCCGAGAAGCTGGGATTTACAGGCACCTGCCACCACATCCGCCTAAGTTTTGTGTTTTTAGTAGAGACTGTTTAACTATGTTGGCCAGGCTGGTCTTAAACTTGTGACCTCAGGTGATCCCCGTGCCTCAGTCTCCCAAAATGGTGGGATTACAGGCGTGAGCCACCACGCCCGGCCCAGCCTAGCTGTTTTAATGCCTCATGTGCTGGGCACTCTGCACGGCAGATTCTGACCGCCGTGTGTGAGTTCCCTAGAGAGCACCTCCCCGTCTTTTCTTCTGCGTCTTGAGTGTTTGGTGACTGTAGACCCCCAGACAGACCCACTCTTCTGGGTCTCCTGTCAGCCTGGAAGGAGAGCTGGTGGTTTCTAGGCCTTCCCGTTTTAGCAGTTGCCAGCTTGTCTTACAGAGGGGCGGCACCCTGTCCTTCCACCAGCAGGAGGGGAGGGTTCCCATTGTCTCCCGTCCCTGCCACGCTTCGATGTGGGAATGGAGGAGATGCTGCCTTCTGGTGTGTGAAGGGGCTTCTCCGGAACGGGCGCTTCTCTGATGGCTCAGTGGCGTCGGGCGTCTGCCCCGCTCACTGCTCTCTGGGACTGCCTCCCATGTGAATTGCCTGTTGATGTCTTTTTCTTATTTTGTTTCTGGTTGTTGGTCTGGGCCTTATTCTACCGGTTGATAGGAGTTCCTAATATTCCTGATTAGAGTCTTGGTTGTGTGTTTGAACTGTTTCTGTTCCTGATGTGCAGAAGCTTAACCCTAAGACACGATTAGTTGATCTTACCCTTTGTGAGTGGGGCTGTTTCTGACCAACTCAAAACATCCTGACCTCCCTGAGGTTGAAAAACAGTCATGTTTTCTTCTAATGATTTTGAGGTTTTATCTGTAACATGGGGGGCTTCTGTATTTGAGGATTTGTTTGTGCATGACAGGTTTTACTAGCCTGTTAAAGTTTGTTGAAGCAGATAGATTCAGGTCATCTCTTCTCCCTTACAACGAAATGGAGCTGTGAAATGAGAGGAACAGGACCAAAAAAAGTCCTCCCCAGGGACAAAGACGGGGAAGAAGCCAACATCCACAGAGGATTTCAACCCCTTCTGCATGGTGGGAAGTGGGTTGGTGGGTGGCTCTGAGCAGAAGAGGGCTGAGGGGGAGGCTGGCTACCCTGGGAGGCCCTGGCATGGAGCAGAGCCTGAGCTAAAAGTGGATCAGCTCAGAGACCAGGCAGAGCCGCTACCTTGCAGGTCCTTTGCCTGCCAAAGTAGCCGGCGGTCCTCCCAGCCCTCACCTCCCTGCAGTGGAGATGGAGGTCTGGAAAACTAGGGCTGTGCCCCAACGCCGTCAGAGCAGTGTCGGGCTCCAGGCTGAAGCAGGGGCAGGCGCCTGCACTGAACAACTCCCCAGGTGCAGACGCTCCCAGGAAACACCAAGGCCTTAGAGGGACAAGGCGCCCTGGAGCTGACTCATGGCCAGGCCTTGCCCAGCCGCCTCGTGGCCTTCCAGGGAAGTGCCAGGCTCTATGCAAACCCACAGAGGTACTATCGTCACTATCTAATTTTAGGACGTTTCATCCCCCTGCAGAAAAACCTTCCCACAAACCTGCTTCTGTCTCTGGGCTTGCCTGATGAGGACATGGATAGGAGTAGCATCCTGCAGCGTGCGGCCTTTGCTTTTCCTCAGCAGGATGCTTACAAGGTTCGTCTGTGTCGCCGCGTGTCGGAATTCCGTTCCTCTTTTTGCCTGGCTGACATTCTCTGGGGGATGGACCTCATCTTATTTATCCATTCACCAGCTGATGGACATTGGGCGGTTTCTAATTTTTGGCTACCCTGAAAATGCCGTTGTGAACATTTGTGTACAAGTTGTTGTGGGGACGCATGTTTGTTTTCGCTTCTCTTGAATATTCATGCCTGGGAGTAGAACTGCTGGACCCCGAGTTCAGCTTTGGAGGATTGCCAAACTTTCCCTCGATGGTCATCTCACTTTACAGCTCCCTCGGGAAGGTGTTTTTTTTTTTTTTTTTTTTTTTTTTTTTTT